AAATAGACTCCAGTGATTATTCCAGGGATCTCGGATTACAGGTAACTTTTGTTCTGTTTTGGGGCCTTTTGTGTCTTCTAAACTCCTAACAATGAGCCTGTTTTTCTTTAACATAAAAAAATCAATAAAATACTTAAAAATGTTTTTCTGATTCAAAATGCAATGACCTTTAACTTCCAGCCTGAGCACCTGAGCTGGTAGACCTTAGGGTTGTGAAAGGCAGGGTTTCTGTGTGAGCTGGAGCAGCATCGCCCAGAGGCCCTGGAGCAGCCATGCACTCCCGCACACTTTGTATACTGCGCACAAATGGGGTTAATGACTTTTCCAACCTAAACACATTTTAACAGTTCCAATGCCCAGGCTGCAATAACGGATGACAGAGTAAAGTGTTCTTTAGTGCTGACCTATTGCAAGTTGTTACCATTACCAGCAGTGGACACGGTCTGCAAGGTGAGTGCAGTGGTCAGTGGTGTTTGCTTTGTAGCTTATGTGCGCTACCTCCTGTGAGCTTCACACAGGAGGGTTGTGTGCATGTGCAGGTCAAGCTCACCCTGGCTGCCAACCTGAATTCTACAGATTGTTTCAGGAGACGTGGTCTCTGGATTCTGGTCCCTTCCGGTGCCTGGAAGACCTAGAGCTGAGAGACCCTACGGAAGTCTGCTGGGGCGTCTGGTTCCATCCACACTATGAAGTCGAAGTTGGCTGCACGATGTCTCCTCTGTAGAGTTTTCTGTTTCCTTGGCACTTGCCCTTTGGATCACTTTGTGGGTAAAGGGTACCCTTGAAGGCAGACCCCAGACAGTCATCCTGGCCCACAGGATGACTAAGGCTGTTCAGTCCCATCTGTTCCTCTACCTGAAAATCCTTGAAGCTGAGGTTATAGGAGAGTAAAATCCTTTCCACAGAAATGCAAATGCCTCAAATAGGTTTTGAGCCATCAATCCTTCAGACCTGAGCATAAACCCAGTTGCTCGATTGCTTCCTTTCTAACACGCAGTCAGCTAGAATGAGAAAGGGACAATTTGATGATCTAAGTGGCAGGGGTGGAAGGGTGCAGCGTGATGATTAAGCAGCAGGTGTCACTGTAGCCCTGGGGGGGCTGAGGACAGAGATACACAAAAGTACCTGAGGAGCCACACAGGGCAGCAGCCCTCCATTCTCCTCAAGTGCTAGTCCTCCTTCCTCCCTCCTATTTGCTTCCCTCCACCGGCTTCACCAGTTCTGCCAGCCATCCACCCCCCATCCATCCTCCACTGCCCTACCCCCGGGGGCAGTGGGGGCTACCTGGGGATCCTGGCAACTTCCCAGCAACCTCATTTTAGCTTCCTCCCTCTCTGTCTCCAGCGTCTTCAACCTCACCCCTCCCTTCTTTAATGTTTTGCCATCTAAACAAACAAAAAAAATCGTCTTCCTAAGCCCACACCCCACTCCAGATTTCTGCTCTCTCAGCGGACTTCCTGGAAGAGCTGCCTGCACCGCTTACTTCCTGTGTCCTTGTCTTCCACTCTCTCCTCAACACTTCCTTTGTCTTCTGCCCACCCCCTCCCTGTGAAACTGCTCTTGCCCCAATTACCAGCGACACCGGGACAAAATGCAGCAGACACTTCAGTTCTTGGCTTACATGACCTCCCTAAAGCCCTTGACTCTGGTGACCTCTTTCTGCTGTCTTGACTCTTTTCCTTGGCTTCTTTGGTCTTATCTTCCTGGGTGACTTGGTCCCCTCTCACTAGGCACAAGCTGACAACTCCCATGTTCACAGCACCTCTCTGAGCTGCATGTCCCACACCCAACTGTCTGTGGCACAAATTATGTCCCATAGACATGTCAATCAACATTTTCAAAATAGAACCCATCACAGTCTCCCCACCCCACCAGCCTGATGTCTCGTGTCCTGGGGGCTTTCTTCTGTGCAGAGTCCTCTGCCTGCAGAGTGCTCCTCTTCCCCGTGACCCTCTGACCCCTTCATCTGGCTGCTGTTCAACCTCCAGGTCTCAGGTTAGATGTCGCTTCTTCTGGGAAGACTTCCTTAAAACCTCAAGTGTGAGTCAGGTATTCCTATGGTTTTGGAAGCTCCCACTCACTTGTAAATCTTCATTAAATCTTCTGTCCTTCCCAGTATAATATTCGCTCCCTGAGGGCAGGCAGGCATCTTTCAGTCTTGGTTTTTATATCTCTTGGCTCAGCAGAATGTCTGGCACATAAAATGTTCAATAAAAACGTCCATTTGAAAAAATAAGACAGCTCATTTCCAACACTCAGGCGGCCAGGAAAGGGGGTGTGTGCTTCCCCCGTCTGGCGAACCCTTTCCCCATAGTCTCTGTGAGAGACCAGGCTCCATTACTCAGGCGAGCCCCCCTCTACCCAATGGTTCAGCCGAATCAGGGGCTGTGCTCCGGGCGCATCCGTCCTGGCACTCTTTCCACCAGGTATAATGAGTATTTTCTATGAGAAAACATATTCTTAGCTCTTAACATTGACTTTAAAATAAGCTTTGTAATACTCTTTTTTATACTGAAGACTATCTCTACCACATGTAAATATGGATCACGCAACAGAAATACATTCTAGATTGGTTCTCCTTCCAAGTAAAATAAATAGTCTTGCCACAGGATAATTCTCAACAGCAACTTGGTTTATGTCTTAGTTTTTGTTTTCCTTTTTGGAATCTAACTTTCCTAAGGAAAAATGTTTTATTTTAATATGGTAATTTAAAAAAATGCATTTTTGAAGCTCCAAATGCTCAAAAGTTTTTCCTTTTGCTTTGGCACGTTATAAAGATTTTATAGGTCAAAATACACTCTTTGACACTTTAGTTAGTGCCTGCAGCTAAATTATGAAAGAAAAATATTGCAATACATTTCTATAAGTGAATCACAGAATTTCCCCAAATGAAGCCATAACACACAACACCTCGCACTGTGGGACATCTGTCTGTCTCTTTCAGAAGGTTTAGTCCAGGGTCACAACCGCAAACTTGGAAGTGACAGAGCCACACTCACCACCACGCTGGCGAAACTTACCTCCTTGGCCACTCCATCAAAGGATGGCAGCTCTTTACGAGAGCCTGGTGAGTTGCAGCACACCTTTTTAAACCAGGGGTGGGGACAAGAGGACATCATGGCATCTCTCTAGCCAAAGAAAGGTGTTCACTGTGGGAACGTGTGAAGAAGATGGAGAGTAAGTGGTCAGTGAACAGACAGATCGTTCTGGCTCTGCCTACAGCTGTTGGTTAGGGTTCGCTCTTGGCATGAACACTCCTCCTCTCAACAGAACTTTCCAGAAGGCGCCCCATCACACTGCTCAGATAATCACGTCCTGTTGGCCCCACCTTGGGGAATGCTGTCTGGGCACTTGTTGTTTTTCCCTCACTTTTGCTCATGTCACCAGGGCTTGCTCTTGGCCTGACCTTGCTTTTCATCTTCAGTTTGTCTCGGGCATGGACAATCATGTAAAATGTAGGTCAGGGGCTGGGGCCTGCGCCCTATGTCTCTGTGTCCTGGGATTTCCCACCTCCGTCCAGTGGACCCTAATCAGAGATTTCCCCTCAGCCTCTGCCACCCACTGGTCATGAAAGAAGGTGTTCTGTTCCATTTATTCTACCAAGGAGTTTCGCTTCTTGTCTTCTGCGGCTCCCTGCGTGGTGCTGCGGATATATTAAGCGTCTCATCGACATTTAAGTCAGTGCTTCATCAAGGAGACCAGCAGCCTTGGTCTCACTTGAAAGCTTGTGAGCAATGAACGTTCTCAGGCCTCACACTAAACCTACTAAACCAGGGGCCCAGGACTCTGTGTTGCTAAGGGCTCCAGGTGATTCCTGCACAGGGTGACAATCATCATTCCAACTGACAGCTGTGTGAATGAAGGGGTAGTAATGGGAGATTATTCCCGGCCCTTCCAGTTCCCAGGGGAAGGGCAGCAGGTGACAAGCCTCTCCTGGCCCAACAGGCAGCATCTCTGCCATGGTTCTAAACAGATGATTTTCTGAAACCATCAGCAAGGATTAGGGACCAAGCCTGACCAGCTGGGAGATTTCTCTGGAAAGCCCCAGAGCTTCTGTTCTTTTCTTTCACTGGCCCCCTGCCCCATAACCACTTTGCAGCAACCAGTCTAAAGCGCCGCTTATCTGGCAATGCCACAACCTCGTCTTTGCCCACTTGTGGGTTCCTGAATCTCCAGCAATCTAGAACCGACCCATACTCCCTTCCAGGGCTCGGCTCTGACACTCAACAAATATTTATGAAGCCCTCGATAGGTGCAAGGTTCCATGAAGCGGGCCCCCTCCACCAGCCCCCCCTCCGCCCACTGTTGCCCATTCCCCGAGGAAGCCTGTTTCGGTGACTGCCTGGCCCACGGTGGGGCACTCAGTCACCAGAACTTCCAGAGCAAGAGCTGAGGCCCCTTAGCAATCTCTGCCCTAATTATTTTCAAACTATTCAGTAAGATAACCGTATTAGAACACCTACACAGAAAATGAGACAAAGAATTATTCTACTAGTGTGAAAAATGCACTTTGAAGTTAAAATGAAGTTAAATTATAGGTTAAGCAGTGAGTGTAATAAATCTATTTCGATGCCCCAAATTGAAGTTAGATGAATAAAAGCAATCAGGTCTGTCTCTGTGTCCGGTTTACTTCTGAAACGGTTGGTTGCAAAATATTAAGGAAAAAAATCCTCATTTGGATAAGTAGCTGCACATGTAACAGTATGTGTTTAAGATAACTTTTCCTGTAACTTGGAGATATACTGTATCCAAGATTAAATACGTCAGCTGTCTTCAATGTGTTACAATATGATATATTTATATTTGATACATATTACAAATATGTAATATTTTATTGTCTTCTCTTTTTTTATACAATTGAAAAAACATTTTAATGCAATTTAAACCAAATATCTGAAATATGTGGAAAGTCTCAAAACTTTTGCAGCCCTCGGGGCTCTGTGGAGCACGGCAGCCACTTTAGAGATGAGAGGCCAAGACGAAAAAGTGAAGTCACTTACTCAGGTTCCGTGGCTTCTCGGTGTCAGAGTGGCTGCCTCTCGTGTCGCTTGACTTGGAGATTTTCTTCTATGTTTCACTGGACATCTGTGTCCCAGCACAGACTCCAAGTGTCTTTTGCTCAGGGCTGAATCTTTCAGAGCGGGAGCTCTGTTTATTCTGCTTAAATGAATTAGAGTGGAATTTCCCCAGAGCTATGTCTCATCTTCAGCTGGAGGGTGCCGGCCAGGGAGAGCCGGGCGGGAGTGAAGATTGGCCGAGCGATTCTGCTTCTTCCTGGTGTCTGACCACAGGCTGGCACACACAGTCCTCTTAAAATAAGACGGTTTTCCTTTCAGCAGCCAGGGGTTGGCATGTTCCCCGAGCTCCGCTCAGCTTTCCTTTCACAGGCCTGGTCCCAGAAAGCACTTGCTCACTTAGATGACCTGCATCTGGCATGGGCTCCGTTTAGCTAACAAAGATATTATCCTGGCAATGTCGGGGGCAGGGAGACAGGCAGAGAAATGGAGCAGGGACTTGGAGGAGAGGAAATCTATCCAGGCATGTGCAGATCGCCTCAAACACCGCAGGCTGCCTCTCATCCTTTCTCCTAGCAGTGCGCTGCTTTGGGACTAGCACCCTGGGGAGGAAGCCTTAACAGGGTGAGGGCAGAAGGTTCTCGGAGAAAATGGAACTGCTCTGGCAGGGTGACTGCTTGATGAAGAAGGGTCGCAAAACCTCTCTTCTGCCTCAGCAGCCTGGAGTCTCTTTTTACCTTGGAGAACTGGCAGCAGCCCTTCCCGCGGAACCGGGTGTTGGGGTAGCTATCCCTCCGATGGAGCTGAAACCCTGCCCACCTCTGCAACGCTGGAGATGAAACAGGTTTCCGGCGGGTCTGTCATCGCGGGAGAGAAATTCAGTCACACACACCCAAACATCTCACCCAGCAAAGCCCCTCAGGTCTCCTAGCAACTTGCTGTGCTTGGATTTTTTTCCATCTATTTTTGCACGGTGGAGCTTAGTTGTTAAAAAAAAATTATGACAGCCTTGTCAGGAAAACCAAAAGAGCTGGAACACAGAGGTTTAGCTGACACTGATCCTTCTAATTGCCCCACTTCGTGGGGAAAACAGGCCCAGGACTGTGATTTATTTTTCACTTTCTGTTAGAATTAGAATCAAATGGACTGCTTTAATGTTTGTCTCTCACCAAAAAAAAGTAATAAATCTAAGTAGGCTGCAAGCTGTTATGTTCAGGCCTAGCTTTCTCACATAATCACCCCACAAAAGATACTGCTGGTTGCTTCCCCAGTGTCTGTTCTCTTATTCCCTGTGAGAAGAAATGGTTGGCAATGTGCTCAGGTAAGAATTCTCACATTCTCAGGCTTTCCTACACATGGGAACAGCCACACCACCCAGTCTGTCCATGACATGTAAGTAAAGTCTACAGGGTGGGGCTCTGATGAAATTGTATAGATTCAGACAATATGGGAATTTGCAGGGCCCTTTTTCTGTCTTATTCTTGGTTGGAATGCAAGCATGATTGCTGGAGACAGGGCAGTCACCTTGCAACCATGAGGATAACATTCTCACATGAAGAATAATAACCCCCTAAAAGCAGGGTGGATCCTTGATAACTCCCTTGAACAGTGGTAACAGCCCTTGACTTCACACCGCAAACCTTTTTCTCAGCTGAGCAAAGTAAAACCCATTAGTTAACACTTTTTATTTGGGGTTCTGTTAAATTCAGCTAAGTGCAATTCTAACCAACTCCCTTTCAAAACACAAACTTTATACCATTACTTTAGGCCTAGGAATTGTCAGTCCAGCCAGTACCTAGAACAAGACTCCCTTTTCTCATTTCATAATATGACTGGGGCAGTGTGAACGTATAAAGGGCAGTCACTTCCCTTTTGCTGAACCAAATTTTACTTCTCAGCCCTCAACTTCCTGAACCTCCTGGGAGTTGGGGCCATGCGCTCCTTCCTCCTTGAAATCTTCTCCTTCCTTTCTTCTGTGATGTGACTTCTCCTGCCTGCCCCTCATCATTCTGGCCTGCTTTCTAGTCTCTCCTGGTCCCTCTTCTTCTGCTCGTCCCTTAAATGCAGATGTCCCCCAGGGTCTCGTCTCCTCGTAGCATCCCACCCTCCCTTGCATGACAATCTTATGCCTACCCATGGCAGCCACTGTCACTGTCCCAAATTGGACTAAAATGTCATCTACTGACATTGGAAAAAGATGTCTATCAGGAACTGCTAAGAGAAAGAAAGCAGCTCAAAGGGTAAGATGTGCTTTGTTCCATTTCTGTAAAGTCGGAGGAAGAAAAGAATATGCATAGAAAAAACATCTGAAAGGCTATATAAAGATGTTAACTGTGGGGGGGGAGGGTGTAGGATTTAAAATCCTTAATTCAAATGTAAAACTAACGTTTTAATCCCTAAGGGCCGAGAGGATATAGAAATGGTTTCAATGGATTTCCACTGATTTCTTATTTTCTCATTTAGGCAATTTCTCATCCATAGGCAATTTCTGGTCCTATAGATACTTATGTGTTTATTCATTCAGTGAGTCTTTATTGTGCAACTACTCTGTGCCAGGAGCATTGTAAAAACAAAGCCCAAGTGCAAGGAACTCTCATTTGAAACCAGCTGGGGATGTACTATTTCATTTTTAAATTGATAGAGAAAGTGCATCCTTTGACGGGTCACATCGAAGGGATTTCACACAGTATCTGTTACACAGCAGCTCCCCCTGGCATCTTTCTTGGCTGAGCACCAGGCATCCCTCCCAGGCCCAGGCTAATTGCTCCTCATGGCCTCTCGAGACTGTCCTGGACTGTGGGCTCAGCCCCCAGAACCTGTGGGCGGGGCCTGCCTTCTCTGTGTGCTCTCTGAGATGGCATCGCAGGATGTTTGCCTGCTTTTCTGATGAACTCTAAGAACTCCAAAGCAAAAAGTTTAGTGGGCTGGAGGTGGAGTGGGGGGAAACTACACCATACACATGTAGAGAATTCTGTTGTACAACTTTGCCTCTCTCAGAACCCTGACTTCTTTTTTTTTTTTTTTAAAGAGTTATTTATTTATCTTTAGAGGGGAAGGGAAGGAGAGAGGGAGAGAAATATCAATGTATGGTTGCCTCTAGTGCATCCCCTGCAGGGAACTGGCCTGCAGGGAACCTGCCTGCAACCCAGGCATGTGCCCTGACTGGGAATTGAACCGCGATCCTCTGGTTCACAGGCCCGTGCTCAATCCACTGAGCTACACCAGCCAGGGCAGAACCCTGACTTCTGACCGTTATTCCCATTCCCTCTTGTCCGGCTCCAATTCCATAAAGCTTTGCACTTATAAAAATACTCAGGTGATATAGGACAACTCTCATCTAACTTGCAGAACTGGGTGTGCTGGTGAGCAGGCTCAAACCCCTATACTTCCAGCACCAGGCCTACAAACCCAATTGCAGCTGGGCCTGTGCTCTCTACCTCCCCTCCTGAGACAGTAAGAGAAGCTCTTTTCCACCCCGCCCCTCCCACCCCCCATTTATGACATCCTGGGATTGTGCTCTGGATTCTAGTTTCTTGCCTCCAGGAATTTTCTCTCCGCTGATCATCCTCTTTCTTTCCACTATCTTCAACTTCTTTTTCTCTATACCAGTTCTGTCTCATCAGCATTTAAACACACTAAGAGTCTCTTCCAACTGGGGATACACACTGAATGGATTGATCGTGTTATAAATTTTGGATGAGGATGGAACTCCATGCTGTTCAGGCTGCAACTCGTGCATCTAAAAAGGTGCTGGGCCTTCTGGGGGTTGTAGGCCATTAGTGGGTTGCTTTAGCAGTGAACATTTGGCAACACTTTTCTTTTCGATTCAGAGATCTCCCTTGGGTTACTGGCAGCAGCTTCTCCCTTGGTGGCTAAGCGCTCTGGCTTCTCCTGAAAGGCCTCGCCTCCGCCCATGTGACACATTGCTCTTGTCCCCGCATCGTCCAGTGTGCCATCATGTCCGAGGCTGAGGCAGCCCCAGCACGAGGCTGCCAGCTTCCACGGGATGTTCTGTGATTCTGTTTCCTGAGGTTGGCCCTACATTTGTTGGGGCACAGAGATTTGCAAAGTGCTAGTGCTCACCCCCATCTTTCCCCAGGCCCGCAGGCCCCTCCCCTCCCCACTGAACCTGGTCTCCTGGGCACCGCCCCCCTCTTCCCTCTGAAGAATGCCAACCTCAGTCCCAGCAAATCCTGCCTGAGCTGGTCTACTCCTGTGTTCAGCTGTGCTGAAAGTGAGAACAGAGGTCTGAGCAGACAATTAGCTTTGAAAGACGCCAGGAGAGGCCAGAGAGAAGACCCTGCAGCCTGTTACAGACGAAGGTGACAGCTTCGGACGGCGTGCTTGCCTATCTGTGCCTCGGGTGAACGTGTGCATGTGTGTCTGTGTGCGATCTCTCTGCCTTTGCCCAGATGTGAGTATGGGCTTCATCGGTAACAAGTGATTTTGCCTTTGAGGGTATCGTGTGTGCACAACCTCTGGTGTGCATCTGTCCAGGCTAAAGGACACACACCGATGTCTGGTCGCACGAGCCATCCTGGCCCTTTCCCGAGGCAGCCCTCTTCTGTAGGAAGAGAGAAGGCTCCTTGGGTGTTTCCAAGCCTCTCCCCTGCACTCTCCCGGTCACTGAGCTCTGGACCAACCACTCCCTTTGCCAGTTCTCCCTTCTGGGTCAAACTGCCAAAATCCCCTTGTGTTTCAACTCCAGTGTCTGGGTTGACTTGCTTTAATTTTTTAAAAATCATCATCCAAGAACATGCTTATTGATTTTTTTAGAGAAAGAGAAAGGGAAGGAGAGAGACAGGGAGAGAAACATCGACGTGAGAGAGATACGATACATCGACCGGTTGCTTCTGTGTGCACCCGCCTAGGCATGTGTCTTGACCGAGAACTGAACTCATGACCTTCTGGTTTATGGGATGGTGCTCCAACCCACTGAGACACACCAGTCAGGACTGCTTGAAGCTTTAACAGTGAGAAAGTCAGTCGGTTCCAGCTCTCCTACTGCCTGTTTCCCAGATGAATCTTTCTTGGGGCAGAAGAAAAAAAGAATCAGACTTCTTTGACTATATATATAGACGTGACATTCAAACCCAGAGCTAAATGGGATTTCTTAAATGTCTGTGGGCTTGTGTAATGACCTATGAAGTCAAAGTCACCAGAGTTTTCTAATTAATGACTTGCATGCAGTGATTTTAATGGTTAAAGAAAATG